TAAGTTAAATAAATTATTATTAATTAATATCTAAAAATTAAAATAATATTTATCTTATAAAGTTATAAGTAAAAAATAATTTAAAAAGCATATTACTATTGCATTATATTATAATACTACAGAAACTAAAAAATAAAGAAAATTTTATTAGAAAAAATCAAATTCTATATATTTTAAAAATATTCTAAAATCATTACACTAATTCAATATTATTAGATAAGTATTTGAAATGATTAGCTAAAACTTTTTAATTTATATTTAAGACTTCAAAATAGATATAATTTTACTTTATATAATATATCCAGTGTCTAAAATTAATATGCAGAATACTTACTTTGAGCATAATAATTTATTTGTATATAATATAATTTTAATTATATATATTAACTGATCTTAATTTTTTATTAGATGTACATTTGCATACATAAAAATCATAAATTTTATGACTAAATGTGTGATATGATTAGATCAATTTTATAGTTTTTTCTATGTGAAATTTTTTTGAGAAATTTTTTCTTTTTTTGTATATAAAAAAAATTTGATCAAATTTTATTTACTCTATTTATATTAAAGCTTTAAAAAATATTATATAATGGATAAATTTATTATTCGCAAAACAAATTCTAATAATAAATTTTTAATAAAAAATAAAAAAATAGAAAACAAATAGACAAGAATCAAATAAAAAAGTACATAAAGATTTTGATTCAAATTGATTATAAATTTACTTTTAACTTGAGTAAAGTAAGATAGTAATGGAAAGATGATAATATTTTATAGCTGATATAAAAATGCAAAAGAAATATTTTTATAATAGATACAAGATCATATTGAAAGCAAACATTTAAATATTATATAGATATTGAAGATTATAAAATTACTATAGTAGCTTATTATAGATTTTAAACTTTAATTATATAAGAATTTATTTAACAACTTAGAAAAGAAAAAGTAAAAATAATTAGTTTTATATGTAATATATATTATTTTTCAAAATATGGACAAACCTTAAATATTATTCAGAATTATGTCAATTAATTTATCTGCAAATTAATAATCAAAATGAACTTCAATATTAACAAAAATTATGTATTATACAAAATCAAATTTGGTAGTTTTTATAAATAATGCTTTGAATAATTATGCAACTTATATAAATCCAGTTATAGTATAGGATTTTTTAAAGTCTATAATATTACTATTGAAAGAAAAATAATAAATGATATCAAAATTCTAAAAACTAGAATATTATAATTAATGAAAGTATATGTATTACTGTAAAAATCTGGCAATTATGATTAAATATATAGCAAAATAATATTTCAGTTTTATAATACTTAGATATGATTAAATTAAATGATTATAGTACAGAATTAATTATGAATGAACTTCAACAATTTCTATTAGTAAAGTTGCTTAATATAAATAATTTAAATCACTTTAAAATTTATGATACAAGTATAACATTAGATCATCAAAATGGAATTATTATAAGATTAAAAAAATTAAACCTATTTATAATAAAAAATCATTATATAGCTTATAGATTACATCTTGCAGATAAAGATATTGCAAAACAAGTTTCATATTTTAATAAATATGATAAAATATTAAAAAATATTTATAAATATTTTAGTAGTTTATACAAATGGTTACTTAATCTTAAATTAATTTAGAATATATTAGAAGAACTAAAATTAGTTTTTCTAAAGATTATTTCAATAAGATAACTTTTTTTTCAAATATTATTAATATTTTTTACAAAATTTTTGAATCAATAAAAGGAGCATTTCTTAAAAATGCATCATATAATATTATAGCACTTGAATTATTATTTACTATTAATAAAAAATTTAAAATTATTGTAATATTTTTAGCTGATTTTTTCTTTATTTTGAGTAAATTAATTTAAAATTTTCAATCAGATTATGTAACTTTATCAGATATTCAAAATAATTTGAATATGATAATTGATGTTATTCAATTATAATTTATTAGAAACGATAATGTAGATTTTAAATATAGGACTAATTTGCAAAATTATTTATTGTAAAATAATATATCAAAATCAATTATTCCTTCTTTTGTTTATGATTTTTCTAATAATATTATTACAAGTTTTAAAAATTATTTTTTAAATTAAGAGTTATATTAGGCTATGCGAATTTATAATTTATAGCAAATTCTATTAGATAATAAAGATTTTATAGATTATGGTAAAAATAAAATTAATATTTTATGTAATTTTTATAAAATTGAAAAAGTACAAAATAATATAACATTTAATTTATTATTAGATAAAAGGGTTTTAAAAAATAAATAGGAATTAATATACTTTATTTAAAAAAGTTTTAAAATTTATATTTTATTGAAGTATGATAGAAAAATCTTTTTACAAACATCTTTTATTTATAATTATCCTACTACTTCTATATTAGTAAAAATTATTTTAGTAGCTTCAATTTTAAATGCAAATGTTGAATGAGTTCTTTCTTAACAAATTTTATTAAAATTTAAATTTGTAATCAAATAAATTTAGAAACTTTAAATGATATTTAATAGTAAAAATAAATAGTTCTTTTATTGATTTATTTGATTTTGAATTAGCTTTTGAATATTAGTATTCTAAAGAATAATATGTTTAATAAAATAATATAAATATTTTTTTATAATTGCATATTAGTTTACTAATAACATATGATTAGTGCATTTTAAAATTATAAGAATATATTAATATTATACATAATTTTGAATTTAAATTTTAAATACTGAGTATATCTACTTATAAGTTAAAAGAAAATACACTTTTTAATATACATTTTTATAAATTACTTTCTAATATAACTTTATATTTTCAATCATATAATACTAAAATTATTCATAATTTTAAAGTAAATACAAAAGATCTTAAATAAATTTTGTATTATAAATATAAAAAAATTTAATTTACAAATAAAATAATAAATTAATACTGAAGATTATTTTATAAATAGTTAAAATTATAATAAAAAAGCAATTAAATATATATTAAAAATATGAAATTTAATTAGATTAAAAACTATTACAAATAATTAAAAAAAACTAGATATCTTTTCTTTAAATACTGATAATAATAAGAATATTAATATTAAATTATTAATTTTATTAAGAATGATTGATCAAATATAAGATCTTATTAATTGATTAATACTTAATACATATGAAAATCTGATTTCTGTTAAAGAATATTTTACAATATGAAAAGATAAAACAAATTATCAAATGATAATTGATAAAAAATTATAAAAATATTAAAAGAATCAAAAAAACTGAATATTAAAGAGTTAAAAATTCTAGACATTAATAATTATAAAGCATTAATAGTATTTAATTAAATAGTTGTATATATAAAGCAAAAAATTCATAAATTTAATTTTTAATTTTTAATAATTAAATTTAAACTATATAAAACAGTAGAATAAAAAAAATTTAATTCTAATAATAAATTACTTAGATCTGTATTTTATAATTAATATTAATAAAAATTAGCAAATTAATTCTTAATAATTTATTTATAATTAAAAAAATAAAAAGATTTATTTTTGCAATTGAGCTTATATCTAATTAAACAAATTGATTATTAATTAACTTTTTAAATATATAATTATATATGTCAAATTTGATAATAATCTTTAATCATATTTGTTTTTAGTAGGTAATCTTAATTTATTATTAATTATTATCTTAAAAATGCTAATGTAAAAATATCATTTATTATAATTATATACTAAATTTGAATATGATATTTAATATTACTATATAATAAATAATCATTTAAAATTTGATAAATAATAATAAATCTTAGTTAAATTTGGTATAAAAACTTGAATTATATATTATTTTTTTTTTATAAACTTTTATTTTCTATAAGTATTAAAATTTTTAATAAAAACAAAAATAAATTAATTTAAATTTTAAAATAAATATTAAGAATATTTTTAAAAGTAATTATAATCATAATATTTATGATATTTATACAAACTTTAAATAAATTTCAATTGATTTTTATTAATAATTTTTTTTTGATTTTAGTAAAAAACAAATAATCATATAATTTATCAGTAAGTAAATTATTAATAATATTAAAATTTTTTAAATAATATAAAAGGTATAATGTATTAAAACAAACTAATATTAGTATATTTAATATTACTATAAGCTTATATAATCTTTAATTATTATTTTTTCTAAAAATTATAATTATATTTGTAAAAGTTATAAGTTAGTATTATTAAAAAAAATTAATACATTATATAATATGTATTAATGTATTAATATTTTTAATAATAACCGAATTATACATTATACTTTAATGGGTAAGGGCAACAATATCATTTGATTGAGTCGATCCATTTTACTATATAATCTAAATGGGTTTGCCCATATTCCTGCAAAGACCGCAATTCTGCAAGTCAATTTAGATTTTTCTGATTGTGGTATTTTTTTTGTGAGTTCAGCATTTTTTATCTAGTATATTTTAAAGTATCCCGCTCAAACATTTATTAGAGTCCAAGCGGGTCCCGCACTAGCGTACGTACATATCTTTTTATCAATTTTTTTTTTTTTTTTTTAACATTTTGGAAGAAGAAATATTTCCTTCTCTGTGTGACTAAATGCCATCCAACTGCACTTTCCTCTTCCTACCTTTTTAAACCGTTTTGTACTAATAACTTTTCGTTTTTATTCTTTCCTTCAATCCTACTTGCTAATAAATACACATAAATAACTGTTTACAAAAAAAATAGACCTCTATTTTAATCGAGCGCCAAAAGCTACCACCTTTTTCGATATATAACTTCACATTTTTTAACTCTATTTATATAAATCGTAATTATATAGCATACGAACACCAAACTACAGAACAACCTTAATTATACGAATAACCATACCCTTTTTAAAGCTTTTCGTGTTGAAAAGTAATCTTTTTTGACGATTCAAGAAAATAAACATATTTCATCGTTATGAACATTCAAGTAAACCCGCAAAATATGGACGGGTATCAAACTGTTTCTGATGATTCTAGGGCCGAACAGGTTGGTTGCTGAATCAAGCTTAACATTATATGCAGACTTTTTTTTTTTTTTAAAAAAAAAAAGGTTATTAAGAATCGAAATTAAATGTATAATTATTATTTTATTCAATACATGATACTTTGATATTTTCAGGCTTATTATAATTTTTTCAATAATTATCTTTTTTTAATATAAACAATTACTTTAAGGCATAATTTCAAATATAAATTTATTATTATATTTTATAGATTTCACAAAATAAACATGCTATGAAATCAAAGTTGGAGCAAATTTTCGTAGATTTTGATAAAGATAACTGTGG